TGCGTTATGTTCCTCACCTCACGAAACCACACCATAAATCATGACAAATTTCAGAACTGTCATTTACACAAACATGGATTTCTTATTTCTTTGAAGTAAACAACAGATTGACATACACTTAGAGCCACTTGACATTTTTTTTATGATACATCAGTCATTTGAGAAAAAGATAAGTACAGGTAATGGAAATTGTGGCATTCAGATTGTTCACTTTGTGAAGTAAACCAAACTAAATTAATTAAAAACTTGGTTTGTAGGCTTGTTCTTTCTGTCTTTTCCCTCAACTTTCTCATCCAGGACATCATCAGATGGTCATGCAAACCAAATATCACCTTAAGAAAATGATTATCAATGGTAATGTTGAGTGACATGGAGAAAAAACACTGGGATAAATAAAAAAAAAAAGTTGGACTAAGTATATGAAAGCTGTAACATTTTAATAACAGCATCTTGATGATAAAATAAATCTTCATTGTTATTGTATTAACATATAATCTGTTATTTTCATGACAAAATTAAAACATAAAAAATAAAACATTTAAACATAAAAATTATAACATTGAGAAATGCACAGGACTGCATCTGAGCTTGAACATATTCGTAATCCATGCAAATTAAGTTAATTCTATAAAGTGTTTGATAATAAGTCTTCAGCAACCATTGAACTACAAATCTTTTAGCTAAACTGACTATACTTTGAGATTTCTAAATATCCTTTGAAGGTGAATGTTGCTCTTTAATGTTGCTGTGGTTCATCTCTGGTCATTCTGTTGGAGTCTTATTAGTTGCGCTCATCCGGTGTGAAACTCCGGAATTATAAAAGATGTGTATTTTGATTCTGTCTTTAGAATATTTATGTAAATAAATTAATGTGTGGATATTTGTTTGCACCTTTTGATTGCATTACATACATCCAAAATGTTGCACATCAAAAAAGAAATAAACAAAGTGCCACAAAACAGATTTATTTGTATGTATACCAAATAATCAGCTAATCTAAATAGTTTTCATCACGTTTGGCCAGCAATGAATTTCTGTAAGACAAAATTATGTTCAGTCCAAAAAAAAGCCACAACTTCCAGGTTCTCCATTGCTGAGCATAGAGATGTTTCTCATGGTAGTGAACAACAGACAGTAACAGAGATGTTCACAGCGGGGGTGGAAAAAAAAAATCTGACCAGTTAGAGCGAGACTTTACTCTGGAGAGTCTTCTTTTATAAGTTACTCATGACATTACAAAAGTAAAACACAAAATCACTGAGGAAAATAGTAAGCACTGCCAGACTGAATTAGATAACTTGGAACACATCTAAAGATTGAAATCTCTTGGCAAAATAGAATTGTTATTGCATGTATGCATATAAAAAACAACATTTGATCAGATCAATAATATTTAGGTAAAGGTGATAAACATATTTTTATAAAACTTACATCTGCACCGGTCAATAATAATCACAACGATAACATATGAAGTTGTACAGTTGCTAAAATCTAACCATAATAAAATGCGTCACAATAAAATAGGCACATAAAGTCTGGAGAAACTAAAAACAAAAAATTAGGTGACAAATTTATTGCATTGATACTGAGATCCATTGAAAACATTTCCAAATTATACCTCCAAGTTACTAATTTCTAAAATACCTGCAAGGACTTTGGAATGTTTAGGAATTCAATTGATAATACACTTCTTCTGTAATTCTGCTGCTATTCTTTAGATAATTTATCATCAATTGCTTTTCAAATATTTTCTTGGTGTTCTTCTCTGGTTGAAACAAAATGATGAAACACTTTGGAGCAAATATACACAGTATCAGTCCAAAGCTGGAGGCCAGAATAGCAAATATCTCCACAGCCACAGTAAATTTTCCAGGAGAGCTGACATAAGCTGGGATGAAGGTGATCCAGACGGCACAGAATATCAACATGCTGAATGTTATCATCTTGGCTTCGTTGAAATTATCAGGTAGTTTCCGAGCTAGAACAGCTAACACAAAGCAAAACACAGCCAGCAGGCCGATGTAGCCAAGCACAGCCCAGAAACCAACAGCAGAGCCTAACGCACATTCCAGGATGATCTTCTCCTTGTAGGTGCTCAGATTTTTCACTGGGAAGGGAGGACTCACAACCAACCATATGATACATATTATAACCTGAACTAAGGTGATTGACACTACGGTCATCCTTTGTTGTGGAGGACCAAACCATTTCATAGCATTACTACCAGGAAGTGTAGCTTTAAAGGCCATTAGAACCACCATAGTTTTCCCAAGAACACAGGAGATACAGAGAACAAATGTGATGCCAAACGCTGTGTGCCGCAGCATGCAGGACCACTCAGAGGGGGCTCCAATGAAAGTTAGTGAACATAAGAAACACAGAGTCAGAGAGAAGAGCAGCAGGAAGCTCAGCTCTGAGTTATTGGCTCTGACAATCGGTGTTGTTCTGTGATGGAAGAAAATTAATGACGTAATGACGGCCAGAGATGCTCCACTAACAGAAAACACAGCCAGGATGATTGACAGGACTTCATTATAGGAAAGAAACTCCACTAGTTTGGGAAAACAAGCATCTCTGTTTGCATTTGGCCAGAACTCTCCTGGACATGGGAAACACTCGAGATAATCTGAAAAAAATAAACAAAAAAATACAAATAGTTTTCTTATTACATAAAGATTTAAGAATGTGGATAAATTTGAAAACACACTTGACGTTACCTGTCATATTACTGATCTCTCCTTCAGGACATGGTATACAGTCATAGCAGCAGATTGGTTTTCCTTTCTGCAACACTTTACGAGTTCCTGGAGGACAACTCTCTGAGCAAACGGAGACTGGGACCTGAGACAGAGACAGAGAAAAAAAGCCTTATATTTTTGAAGCAGCATCAATGATACAATTGATCACTGCTAAAACAATCATCGTTTTGTTTATTACTTCTTTTCTCCCTTCCAACCAGGTTAAGTTCCTTTTGATATGAAACTCCTGACCTCTTGGCAGTGATGCATCATAATATCCCACTGTTACCAGTTCAATAACTCCACTCTCACTTTTCTGCCAGTTTACCAGCTCATAAAAAGCCACAGGGTCTCCATTAGTATCAAACGAAACATGGTAACCATTCTTGGAGAAGTTCACTTTCTTCAATTCAATAAAAACCTTCAAATGAAAAGAAAAATACAAATACATACCATCAGAGTCCTTCAAAGTGAATTTTAAAGGAAGTTTAGTAGTTTGTAATTGTTAATGAAATATTCAGTGAAGTTTGTTTCTCTCTGAACTGACCTGTTTGGGCTCCAGTTTGATGTGGTTGTCACAGTGTGTGGCTGTATTTGTTATCTGACACACTGCATTGTGAATAGCATGAGCTATTGCATAAACAGCCTTGTACATCATGTTAGAAACTCTTAACTGAGACGTTTCAGTGTACGGGTTTTTTAGGGTTTTAATATCTTCAGTTCCGTCACATCCTCTCCTGTTTGGATCAGCAGCTGAAAACAGAGTTTTTTTTTTTTGTTTTTTTTCTGTTTATAAGTAAATTATTTAAACAGTTATAATACCAAAATATCTGGTACTTCTTATGTTATTCTCAAATAAAAAAAACTGCAAGAATTTTATATAATTATGTAAATTTACAAATCTGTACATACAAGATGTTATGGTTGCGTAATTTGCCTACAGAGTTAAGAATCATGTTCAATGCAAACAAACAAAAAATATATACATAATGGTAGGGGAAAATATGGGTTACAAAAAGTATTTCATACCTTTCTTCTGGTCTACATAAATTATTTACATGAAAGATTCAAGAATGGTTGTATAAAAAGGCCAAAGTTTTCATTACAGCTGATTTCACATGTTTCCAAAAGTCACACACTAACATTATTACTGTGTGGCAAAGTTTGATAAAAAATAATTTCAGTTCACTTTGATGATATACCAGAGGGGAAAACATTCATATAACACTAACAAATATCAGAAAATGGATCTATGTCAATGTCAAAATATTTCGAATAATCAACTACCAGCAGTTTCATTTCATATTATTCTATTAATAAAAGTAAAAGCCAGCATAAAAGCTTTCAAACTGTCTCACTTGTGGTCAGGCTGCAGTTGAATGCATCCTCCCAGAACTCAGAAAGCAGTGGGGAAGCAGCCACTTCAGAGGGAGAGAGATCCAGCAGGAAGTCTCTCAGACCTGGGATGACAGATTGCTGGATGGCAACTCCGATGGCTCCTGCACAGAAACTGAAGCTCATCAAGAGTGGATCTGTTACCCAAGACTCACTCCCGATCCACTGACGAGGTGGAGGAGGATCCCGAGCCAGTTCCTCTAGTAGGACTTTCATATCACCAGAGGCTGTAAATGCCACCACAACCACCGCTGTGGATCTGAAGAGACGATAGAATGTGTTAGGTCCAACTAGCAGCTTATAAGCAAATTTAACCCTTTCTACATACAGATGGTGCTGATTACATATAAACATTTGTAAAAAGAACAAACAAAAAAAATCAAGATCTCCAGCAATAAAAAAAATAAAAAAAATCTGCAACATTTTTGTAAATTTATTCTAAAACAAAATCAAAAACCAGGTCTAGAAAAGCACAAACCTACGGATAACATCTGCTACTCTCCTGATCTTGCTCTGCTGGTTGGTTCTAAAAAAGGATTCAATGTACTCCACACAGATCCCCTCTCTGAGAGCAGCTTCAAGAAAAGAGGCCATGCCATTATTTCCATAGTCTGAGTCTGAATGCACGGCTCCTATCCAAGTCCAACCAAAGTGTTTCACCAGCTTGGCCAGTGCATCAGCTTGGTAATGGTCGCTGGGAATGGTTCTGAAAAAAGTCGGGAACTGCTGTTTGTCTGAAAGGCAGGCACACGTGGCAAAGTGGCTCACCTACAGCAAAAAGAAAAAAAAGGAAAATATTAGGAGAGGTAGAATAAATTGACACATTTGATCATTTTAGACTAATCACCAGAGGGATGTTGAAGGGCCCCATGATGCGTGACATGCTGATGGATGGAGTGGATCCAGAGTCTCCCACAGCAGCCACCACCACTCCAGACTGAGAACAGTTTTCTCCTCTATAAACCACAGGATCCGGGCCGTTTGCCAGCTGAAAAGCAACGTGAACTGAGACAGGAACAGACACGCAGGAATCATAGAGACGATATCCAAGTTTGATGCCGGGCAGCAGCTCTGTGCTGTTGTTTATCTCCTCAATGGCAAAGATCATTGTGCGGAAGAAGCGCAGCCCCCGGGCGTTGAAGCTGAAGGAAATGGATTAGGTGAAAGATGACATTTAATAAAAACTTTGAAACCTGTCTCAAACATTGAAAGATCTTAAGAATTGCAACAAAGAAAAAAATGAACACAAAAAAAATAAAGAATTGAATCTAATGTTGGGAAGGAGTTAGTCCGTGCTGTAATGTAATTTAGAGGTGTAACATAACTAAGGAATTAGGTATTCATTTAAATATTGTAACAAATTCAAATTGAATTTTAAAAGTTCAAGCAAAACAATGCATCTAACTTAAATAAGAATTAAATTCCATATACAACTTCAAAAGAAATATAAGTTCATTACCTATATTATTTAATCAGAAGTCAAACCTTAAATTGGCCTAAATGAGTGAAAGTGAAAACATGGTGACGTCAGACTAAGACGGCTGCTGATTGTGATCTTAAAGTTTTATGAACCAAACGTATCTGATTATTGCCCCCCAGTATCACAGCAAGCACAAATCACACATAACATCATCTCCACCTCTCCTTCTTACTGACCTCCCTGTGCATCTCGGAGGCTCAGGCTTGGTGGTGTAATTATAAATCACTGTGTAAAGTTGGTAATGAATGGAGGAAACCCCTCCAATGATGAAGTCCCCATCCTCTGAGAACGCAGGTGATCGAGGCGTACCCAGCAGAGTACACCTGGTGGATGAAGCCTCAGTGCTGACTCCAGGCTCAGTCCTCTGTGTCAGGACATTCACAGACTGAGCCAAGAGAACCAGTGACATCAGCTTCAGTAAAATGACTAAGAATCTCAGACCAATGAAGAGGGTCCGCATTTCCATCCGTCGAGTTTCGTTTGCTGTGTGCAAATGTTGTTTTACAGGCCTTTAAATATCTAAATCTCAACGGTTGTTCATTAGAGGGAGGCTTCACCTATGATATTTAAGCTTTTAATGACATGAATAGTCATGAATTAAATTAACACGTTTTTACTTTCCAGGTCTCATTTGAACAACCAACAAAGGACAAAAAACAATCCTGCAAATCACTTTATTCACTTTTTATTTACTTTTTTTTATCTCAAGTTGCATTGCAATCTGCATTGGGACCAATTCATATATTTACTGCTCAAATGTATCTCAGGGCTTGGAGTGTGTATGATTCACCAGAGAAACAACCAACAACCAAGTGACAAACAAACTTGTTTATTGACTGAGTCAATAATATAACATCAGCAGAACACAGAGTGTGACACATTGTACTGGATATACTGGTGAGAAAAATCAGGAACAGACACACATAAAGCTTAGCAAAATTACAAAGATTCAACTATTTTGAAACACAGGGAAAGTAGAAGATTAAACTGAATTGAAGAGAAAAAAGTCAGATTGAAAGAATATTACTTTACTTTAGAAGCTAAAATAGAAAGCAGATTTGCCCAATTAATTTATAGCAAAGAGAGCTGTGATTGGCTTATTTAACAGCTAAAACTAGTAGAAAACAAATTGCAAAGATTCAGGAGATAAAGTTTGTCTTATCTCCAATATGTGATGATTTTTTCCCCCCAAAATATATCAACACGTAGTTGTTTATAGCAAAGTA